ACAGGTTTCTTTATCAACCATTGCCCTTGCAAAGCTGTGAGGTGGGTAGATATAGTTATAGTACAGTTGTTGTAGTGAGGCTGAGTACCCGCATCTGTTGAAACCTGCTTGGCCAGTGTGGAACAGGACTCCTTTACCGAGACTGATAAAAGCCCTCCTTGCATTTGAATCTGGCCAGGTGGCTCAGCAGTAGAGTGAGTGGCTCGCAATCGAGAAGGTTGCAAATCTAAATCCTGGTAGGCGGTTAACTCATCACATCGTTCCCCAGTGGTCGATAAAATAGGACAACTTTTGTGGAGAAGTCAACAGTGGTTGTTCTATTTGTAGACTCACCCAGCCATAGGAATATGGAATTGCTATGTCGAGCTCAGGACTGTAAACAGGAGATGAGCACCAATTATGTGCTCATTTGAGCAAGACATCACTCTTTCATGTGTTTTAACTAACATCTTATGACACTGGTTATTTAACGCGAATATCTGCCCGCTACGTTACACCATTTTTGGGCACTCACTTGCCTGGCGTGAACGCGCACTTTTTGTTCGGCAACTCTGCAATGAATGTTAACCACACTTTGCCAGGGAGCACCTATTAAGCGCTGATGGACGGGCGCTGCCTTTGCTCATTTGGTAATTGGGCCACGATGCCGGTAAGCGATGGCTGACGCTGCCGCGCTCCTTTAAGCGTTGGCGAGTGGGCGAGCGGCCGCCCCGATTTTAGCGGTTCCCCCCCACGCGAGGACGGCACGCCGCGTGGCGCTCGGCTCCCAGCACGGCGCTCGGGTCAAGGGTTCCGTTTCAAGCCAGGGAGAAACCTTAGACGGCGGAGAGACAAGGGCACCGCTGCCTGCCTGCACGAGCCGATGAAACGCGAGGAAGCTGCATTTTACTTTAAGTGACGCCCAGGGTGCGCTGAGGGAGTCCAGCGCTGGTAGTCTTTACAAAGGGACACTGTGATCGGGGGTTACTGTGTGAAGAGCGACACGCCGCTTCACTCAAGAATAAACTATCAAGCAGTTATGTACTTTGTCGCAAGGGCATTTTCGTTGTTTTTGTCTTAAGAACACTAATAAAGCTAGAATAGCATGCTATTGATTATAAAACATAAATTCGGATATTTGTTTTCATATTACATTGATCAGGGCATAGTGGTGACACGGTCGTTGATGCACTTGCCCTGTGAAACTGGCTGACATGAGTATGATTTTCAGCCACAGATAACATCAGTGGTGAGTGATATTATGGGTAAATAGTTTTAAGGTGTCTAATAAAATGGCCAATTATTTACATTTCAAACAGAAATGTTGTTTTGTGAAGTATATGAATTTTATTGGAAAGAAGATCACATTATGTATAAACTGTACTTCTTTGTTTAGTAAGTCCACTTTGACTGGAATGCAGGCCAAATGTGAGCCAAACCAGATATAGCCTTCCTATCCCTGGGTATTCTGAGTGCTGTATGTCTGGGTCACAACAAAAACTAGTGTTTTTATGTGCTCACATTCATATGTAAGCCTCGGAGATAAAGATGCAATCCATGGCATTTTGAAGTTTTTAACCATTATCCCTTTTGATGGTGGTTGTGATTTTTTTTAATTCTCCAACCTCAGCATCCACTCTTCTAGTGCGTTTTAATTGAAGATGGGACCTAAACTATGACCCTTAAACTTTTCAGCAGCCAGCTTGGATATGAGCCACTGTGCATTTTGAGCATCAACCCACACCTTGGTTGAGGTGTGATTGAGGGTTTGTGTCGTCCAAATTGGTAGAGTGGACGCTCATGTGAAAGTGCTGTCCTTCAGAGCAGACGATAAGCCAGTATCTTATGTGACAGGCCATGCCACATGTCCCGCTGTGCCGTAAGATCTTTTGTGACAGAATGTGCAGCATGGACCACCAACGCGTTGGTGTCATGCCCAAATTACAAACCTGCTGTGAGACATTTTTGACCCCAAAGTATAACCGAGCTGTCTTTGGAGGTTATGAGTGTCCCACTACAAAGAGTCAGCCCGTGACAGGTTATCTTCTAACAAGTTTAAAATATGGATAATAACTTAAAAATTCCCCTAATCATGGTAATAATTGTAAAACCCTTTTTGACGGCAATGATTGAGAAAACAATCTGATGTGCATGGAAAATGCTTTTATGAGGGGTGACAGTTGAGGCATAATGCCAGTAAAATAGAATGGTGGCTGAAAGGTAAAATGAAAAAGACGGCATGACTAAATTTAAGATGGAGCTGTGAAATGGAGGCAAATATATAAACAGAACAAAACAGCAGCTGTGAGGAGTATTTATCGTTTAAAGTAGATTCCTAAGTTCACCATTCATGCATAGAAATGCGCGAATAATAATCTTTTGTTTTTCGATCCTTGTACGTTGTATGCAGTGATGTTACACGTGACCCTTCCAGGCGTCAGAGGTCACTATATTTACTGCAGTGTTAAAATAAACAATCGACTCTGGAGTTGAACCGTGACCCTTAACCTCAGCAGTTTGTTGAAGCACGAGAGAGGGGAATCATTACACCCCCTAGTCATCAGCAAATGTCGAGAGATTTTTTTTCACCGGCAGTAGGTTGAGTACAACTAGTGATAAGATCGATTCCCAACTATTTTAACAATACACGCATTATATTCTTGGTTCTTTCGGTAAAGTCACGTGACCTTACCGAAAGAACCAAAAATATGAATCCCTGCAGTCACGAAAGCTTTAAATCAAACTTTAATACACACATTGTTACAAAATTTACTTTTGCAAAGTTTAACGTGAAAACGAAAAAGAGAATATTGTCAGAAGTAGAATTTTTCATCGGTGTGTACTGCTAGTTATGTGATGTGGATCAAACACATGGACACTGACAACATTTTTTCACAAATTATGAAAAGTACAAAAAGTAACACCGGGAGGGTCATACAGAGATTTTATGACCCTCCTGTATGACCCTCCTAAAGTGATTTTGGTTTTATCGTGAGCTATTTGTGTTTTTTATTTATTTGGAAGCTGAGGCCCAAAACTTCACTCAAAGCAAAAATATTTCACTTTTATGTAAGTACCTAGTTCAGCAGAATAGCATTCCAATGTAATAGCAATAACATAGAAAACAAGTGCAGCAGTTTAAGGTTCTCCATGGACTGGCCCCTGCCTACCTCTCCCCTCTCATCTCACTCTGCTCCCTTCCACGTACTCTTTGCTTGAGAAACCAAGGCTTTCTGTCAAAGCCTCCAGTAAATTTTCGCTCAATGCGGAGTCACCGTTTAGCTTCTGCTGCTCCTGTAGTTTGGAATTCCTTTCCCCAAATTATCCACGTCATCGACTCCCTGTCCAAGTCCTCGCTCAGGACCTTCCTTATTCCTCTGCCTGTGACTGTCGATGTAAAATATATCTTCTAACTGTTGTTTCTATACGGCTTGCTGAGATTCGGTTGCATTTGGATTATATGGTATGTACATCCAATAGTATTGCATTGTATTAAAATAACAAACATTCGATTAAAACACAATAGCAATAAGTAGAAGTACTGCGCAAGCAGCAAAGCAAAACTTATCAGTGCTCCAAATTAAGTGTAAATATAATACTGTTAATGACTTTAAGTCCAAAGTGCCACTTCATCATGGGCATATACACTAACAAGTGATGGTACCATAATCAAAAGTGTCATGAAAAATTCACAATGGTTGTTTTAGCTGTAATGCTCTTTTTCAGGGAGAGGCAACTTGAGCCCTAAAGGAGATGAATCGGTATACAAATAACTCATTCACTGTCGTCGAGGATTTTTTGATGATGAAATGTCGACAGATATACGTTTATCTCTCCTATAAAAAATATAACATTATTCGCCATCAGCCTGTAAACATTTTGCTTCGTTGTTTAACCCTGCAGGGTTTGTTAATGTAGGCAAACCTTCATGCTGGTTTCGACTTTTAGCAGTCTACAGTTCACCTCCCTTAAACAAATGTTCATGTGGTTTATAGGCCGATGGACTATAATGTTTCTATATTTTAATGAGCTTACTTTTTATCCCACAATTATTCGTGACATTACAATTCGTTTTTTTCATAGCATTTGTTTAACATTCATTAGGCTGCTGACAAGACTCAAAGTAAATACCGGTTCAGGATTGGTCTATAAAATATTTGTTGAAATGGCATAGAGACTGATAATCTAAAATGTGTTTTTTTATCATGTGGAAAGAGATTGGTCTGATTTCATCTTGTTTTCGACATAATAACACTGCATCAATAACTCTGAACATGCATAACATAATTTGCTTGCTAAAGAACATTACAGTACAGTCTGTCCTATAATTCATGTTTTCATAATGCGAATTGGATGGAACGCGATTCATATATTTGGAAACACATTTTTTTATAACACGGATACGAATTGGATAAAACGCGATTGAGTGAACAGAACTACGTCGCACGATTAGGAATAAGCGGTTGTACAGCTGTCTCGGCGTAGCATCACACCAGGCAGGATGCTGCTGGATGCTTCTTGATGCTACCCACTCGCCTCACTCTTTGTTCAGCCTGTATACGCATCTCACGTGGTATTGCGGACTGTAATTTACCCCATAATATATTATTTATTATAATGTGATTTTTCCATAACGCAGTGTTCTTCAGGAACGCAACTAATGCGTTATAGGAGAACAGACTACTTGGATCTGTTTATTGAAAATGCTGGAAAGTAAAAGTGTCTTCCTGCTCAAACAAGCGATTGAGGTAGCACTCACCTCCATTGGCAGACCTGAGACAGTGGGGCAAAATTCCACATTCCCTTCAGTCATTTCATAAGATGACCACCCTTGATTTCCCACAAGAGTGTACTTTATCAGCCTTAGAAAGATGACAAGCGAAGTTGACCCCTGTCAGGCATCCTAATATTAGCACCATCTGGCTCCATCGTTTATTGAATAATGTAAAAAAACATGACCTCTTTCTAACTCCGCTAGTGTACACATTCCTGCTACTGATGTAAGATATGTTGTACCATAGGACAAGTTCTGAAAATGAGGGAGCTTCCAGGCAGCTGCATGCTCTTTCCCAAAGTGCTGCCCTTGGGCCTGTTCTGAAGAGATCCTTCAAGAGGACTCAGGTAAGAATGGTGTATGTGGTTTGCATGCATGATAGCTTAATTATTTTCAGCTCCATTCCCTTCGAGGTACTGACGGCTCAGAATTTCAATGCCCACCAATTCTTAGACGTCTGGATTTCACTGTTATTCTTAAGTGGCATATCAATTGGCAGCTGATCCGTGCATGAATGTTGAATAGCGTTTGAAGAAAAACTGCACATATGGGGTCTTTTTCAGGATGTGTGTGGAATACTTATGTCCTGGGTTACATCCCAGTGGTTTATTCGGTAAAATTGAGGTAGTGCAGTGCACATGAGCAGCAAACTTTCATTTTTTATTTGAAGGCGCAGGAGTGGTTAGTAGGGGGGTTGGTGTGGGGGTGGACGGGGGGGGGGGGTCACACTGCCTGTGTGACATTCATCTCTGCCACTGCACAATCCACATGCTGAAATGATCCAGTCCTGGTTCCAAAATTTGCTTTCACATGAGCTTTGGCATTTTAAATTATACAAACACAAGGATTCATGAACCTAGAACAACCCCGAGCAGTTGCGGAAGTGCTGTAATAATGATACAGGTGGTGATATTTTGTTTGTAATGATTTATGAGTCAAGTGGGCCAATTATGGTAAAGCTACACCGATGAGGGTCTTTGATACAGGGCTGCGCAGCTCCATACCCCGAGTGACCAAATCCAGTGTTTATTTCTTTCCTTTACCTTGCACGTGTCCATGGCTGGGCAGGGCCTTGTGGTCTGTATTTGGCGTTTGAGTCCTGCACACTCCTTTTGTTGGTGTTGCTGTATAAACCTTTGCATTTTAAAGTGTCTTCGAATTAACAGTAAAATCGGAGGTGTTATCTTTGGTTTCAAAATCAAACACTAATTTAAGCTAATTTAGAAGGAATGTCTATCAGCTAAATGTGTTTTCAAATAAGCGTACTTGTGAATGCCGCATGTCAACAAAGTTTTATGGCACAATGAATACTTCCCTCTTGCAGAATGAATTCCGAAGTTATGAACGACGGTGATTACTTCTTCTATTAACTCACTGGTGCTCTGCCAGAGAAATGATAATTCTGTCAGTGTAAAATGTAAAAAAAATCCCAACCCAGGGAGTCTGAGGCAGATAAATGTAATAGCTTTGCTGGATGTGCCCCAGAAATATTTAAACTCATAACACAGTATTAATCTAATACGTTTGGATAGACATATCATCAAAGGAAGCCTATTGCTCTTTCTACTTCTAAAACGCAAGGAATGCAGCGTGGACTAAAACAGCAGTTGCAAAGAGACCTCTCTTCAAAGGAGCACAATTTAATTTTGTTCCTTTCTAGTGTCATGCCATTGGTTGTTTGAACCTCACACACAGACCTCCACGGATAAAAGATTCATTTTCATTTCACAGTTGCTGGTCATATAATTTTTTACCTACAGTTATCTATAATTGATTGCTTAGCTCTCCCAAGCTTACACCATTGTTGGACATGGTCTTTTGAACAGGATTGATATTTTTATGATAGTTTTATTTTTCTATTTAACGTACAACTTGATTTTGCGTTTTGGAAAATGTGTCATTAAATACAAGCACTGCTTGAACAACCACAACCAAATTAACAATCTTGATGCTCAGTAAACATTCTAAGGCATAACTGCATTCGCAAAGCAATATCATATAATTGTATACTATAAGTAATATAAAGTGGAATTCTTAAATGGAATGATCATATACATCATTGCATTCGGGCAGATTATTGGATGTGGAATGTCATGCACTTCTACTAATAGAGAGATTTCAAACACTGGCCATTGTAATGAATTCCTTTGTGTCACCCAACAGCAAAATATACAGAAGCAATGAAACAAGATGGAAGCTTATGAATAAAACAATAATGATGTGATGCATGTTTGGAGTTAATGATGCTGTATTATACTATAGAACACATGTGAGGGAGTTCAACAATGCCTTATTATCTTACAGTCCTCTTTTCTACAACACCATTCTGTTCTCCAGACGGTACAGGTATTTTAAGTTGACTATAATGAAGCCAGGTGAAAGCCCAATCAAAAACATCACGGGGTCCCTGCATGTCTTCATCGTTGTCTTATTTAGAACAATTTAATACAAAGCAAGGAACAATATATGAGGACTTAAGAAAAACAGCAGCACATTAAAACGGTCATTACCAAAAGGACAGCCCACGGTTAATTATACGCATGCTTGCAATACGCACTGGCATGCTCTACAATAACACAATGCAACGGTATAGCACTTATGAGCAGTGGAATTTTCACTCGTGTGCTTCCAACGGGTGCACTCTGACACGCACAACGTGCGCAGGCGATGGAATGATGAATGCTCCGTCCTCTCGTTGCACAGGACCATCACACTGGACTCTCGTCTGATGACAGTGACCTTGACAGCCGGTTTGGGGTAAGATACTTTGGAGTTGAGTTCAGCTGCTGTTGTCCAATGATTGACACAATGTGATGATTAATTTTTCAGAGTTCGCCGCGCACACTGGCACCACTTGTTACGAGCTCAAAAGCACACCCAGCTCCCCCCCCCCTCTACTCTATATTATTATTATAGACTTTTTTGCAAAAATGAAAAGATATGGATGATTACCTGACGTTGGTTTTCATCGGGTGATAAAATCAGCCAGCTTGAGACACTGTTCTTCTGTGTAGTAACTCACCTGAATGCAATAACGTTCCTTTTGTGTTGGTCTTACAAGCCCTGCGTACCGCTGGGACAAGGCCCTGCCATTCCCTCTTCAAAGCAAAACTTCTGGAGCAGAACAATTGCAAAATAGCTTCCGACACCATTTTAATGTGAACAGTTATATATTCATCATTACCTTTTTTTATGCTGCTCCAATGTCAATGTCATGTATCAGTGTAGATACGATGAATATATGATTTTAATGCAATAAATATTTGGGCTGTTGTATATTATTTGTGCATAGGCCTGCTTTTACATACACAATATTTATCAAGGTTTCATCCCACGGCATTGTTGATAGTTGAATATTGAAAGTACAGTTATATTCTTCATGATTTAATCGTCCCTTTTTGCCATTTGTAAGCTGATTGTTTAAATTCCACTTCTGTCACATAATTTAATCAATGATAGCTCACTTTGTAACACAATTTTTGTTCCTGGGTAGTGTTATTTTGTAATTGCTTATGCCAAAAAGTACAGAAAATGGCTGTTATTCCCCAAAAAGATTGCTTTTGTAACCAGGAAAGTGATATTTTTAAATTTACCTATTTTCAATGAGAAAACGGGCAAATTTGTGTCTTTTCGTTCACAAAGTCAGAAAACAACAACTTATGAATCAAAATGAACATGTGTTTATACTAAAGTAATACAAAAGCTATGACAAAAGATTTAGAAGTGAGTAGTTTTTAGAGATTTACGATTATACTGTAAATCACTTTCACGAATCAGCCCCCAAATGTAGTCGCCCATCATGTTCTCGTTATACTGTCCTTGGTAGCGGCGTATAAAGTCCAGCATATCCTGGTGGAAGCGCTCACCTTGCTCCTCCGAGTAAGCTCCCATGTTTTCCTTGAATTGATCAAGATGAGCATCAAGGATATGGACTTTGAGGGACATCCTACAGCCCATTGTGCCGTAGTTCTTCATCAGCCTCAACCAGCTCCACGTAGTTTTCGACCTTGTGATTGCCCAGGAAGCCACGAACCACTGTGACAAAGCTGTCCCAAGCCACTTTCTCCTTACTCGTGAGTTTCTTGGGGAATTCATTGCACTCCAGGATCTTCTTTATCTGTGGTCCGACGAAGACACCGGCTATGACCTTTGCCTCAGACTCCTTATCTACAGCTCTGACATTGTTTCATAAGGCCCAATTTGATGTGCAGTGGTGGCATCAGCACCTTCCGGAGGTCCACCAGTGGCTCCCACTTGACGTTGTTCCTCCCCACAGAGAACTCGGTCCGCTGTGGCCAGTCCCGCCTGTGGTAGTGCGCCTTGGTGTCCCTACTGTCGCAAAGGCAAAGATAGCAGGGAAACTTGGTAAAACCGCCTTGGAGACCCATCATGAATGCCACCATTTTGAAGTCTCCTATGACCTCCCAGCCGTACTCAAGGCATCCAGCAAGGTCTTGATACTGTTGTAATCCTCTTTGAGGTACACCGAGTGAGCCAGGGGAAGAGATGGGTACTTGTTACCATTATGGAGCAGCATGACTTTTGAGGCTCCTGGATGAGCTGTCAATGAAGAGGCGCCACTCATTCTGGTTACAGGCGATTCCGATTGCCTCGAACAGACTGGTCACATTGTGGCAGAAGCAGAGCCGCAAAAAGGTTGGTGATGCTTCCTCTGATCTGCGACTTGCAAACTTTCATCCAACAAGTTCCACTGCTGGAGCCTAGACGTCAAAAGCTCGGCATTGGACTTGGTGAGACCAAGATCTCTGATCAAGTCGGTGAGGTCTTTTTGGTTGGGCTAGTATGGGTTTCTCTCCTCAACTCCGCCTCCGAAATTGTCATCTGGCTCTACAATGTCTTCCTCGCTCTCTGACTTGCTGCTCTCTTCTAAAGACGGCTGCTCTCTCTCCAGAGGAGTGGGTACGGGGAGCTCATGGCAGTGTGGCACCGGGGCGATGGATGAAGGAAGGTCCGGATACGTGATAGCAGGTGCATTCTTGCCAGTCTGACGTTTGCAAGGGTCCACCATGCAGAAGTAGCAGTTGCTTGAGTGGTTAATGGGTTCCCACCAAATTCTTGGGATAGCGAACTTCATGGCTCTCTTTTCCCCTCTGTACCATCATACAAAAATTCATTTATTTCACCCATGATTAATGTATAATAAATTATTGCAACATTTTTAATATATCATATATATATTTTTTCCAATAACATTGAAAAATTTAAAACATTCAAAAATTAAAACTTTTACCATTTTTAAATTGTGAACAAATTTTATAACATAAAATTCGGAGCAACAATTGTCCATCTTAACTTCCAGAGTTTTTTTGCATTGCTCGCAGGTGAAATGAGGTGCCCAGGGTTTGTCTTGATCCCCGACAGGCATGCCGACATATGCCTTGTAGGCCTCACACATCTTAGCAGATGCTTCCACAGAGTACTTTTTCGCTCTTGTCTTGATAAATTGGCCGCAGACTTAACAAAATGAGTCTGTCGGATGCTTGCAGCCTCTTGATGCCATCTCAGAAAAATGCAGATATGTATCCACTTAGGCAGCTGGAACTAAACTGAACTGGCGGGCTTAAGGTCCCTGTATTTATACTACTATTTATATTACTGGAAAGTTCTAGAATGTTCGAGAAGTTACTCCAAGTTTGCTCAGCACTGAATCTATCTGGAATTTTCGATTTAAAGCTTTCGTGACTGCAGGGATTCATCTTCTTGGTTCTTTCGGTAAAGTCGCGTAGAATGGAAATAAAATAATAAAAATAAAACAATAAAATAAGATCCTCACGACGTTTCGGCCACAAAACAAGTAGCCTTCTTCAGGTGACTAAACAGGACTGTCCAGAAGACAGTGCTCGAGTGAACATTTCCAAGCCTGGACCGCGTATTTTTAAGCTGTGTGGGCGGAATTAACATATGACATAGCATGTTACCCAGCACCACCACCGGATCGGGGGAGGGTGGCGGCGGTTACACAGAAAAAAGGAGCGAAAAAAGGAATAGGATAGGTGCGCTGCTCTGTCCTGTATTGCGTTAATAACTATGCTATAAGCTGGACTACTATACAATGTAATATTACACCTTCCAATCTAAACTACATGGTATAATATATCCATAGACAAAAAATTCCACCTTTGAATTATACAATGCGTTACTCTACACTGCCCTATACTTTAGACTATAAAATATTAGACTTGTAACTTTACACTATGTCTTTTATCAACCCCACTATATGTCACACTGCTGTATATTCACTATACAATTACGATACTATATATTGCCATATGAATTGTGTTAAACATTACGATGTTATACTATTTATTATTATACAACATGCTATAAACTATACCATTGACCGTCGTGTGAAAGGTATTAAGAGGCAGTGCCAGCGAATGGACTTCGGTCTGAAGGTCACCGTAAAATACAATCAATTAAGAACCGAAATGGTTTATAACATCTTTCCAATGGTTACTAAGCCAGAATCCATCTTCTCGGTTGAAATTGTCTCTGTGTTTGTATATGTGGATGGTCTCATGAACAAATCTCTCATGGTAGCCGGATGGCTTGCAAAGAACCTCTGTCTTGGAGAAGTCAATGTAATGTGAGCCTACTGAATTATAACAGTGATCTGCCATGGCTGAGGAGTTCGTCCTACCGTGTTTCAATATCTGCTTTATGTTCAAGGATGCGGTCCGAGATATGTCGTTTGGTTTCTCCAATGTAGCTGCTATCACAGAGGCAACTTAGTTTGTAAACGCCCAGGTACTGTATGTCTGGGACCACATCTTTTACAGACGGAACCAGATCACGGATTTTATGTACTGTGATGAATCAGATCCGGATCTTGTGTTTTTTCAGGATTTTGGAGATATTTTTCGTGACCCCCGCAATGTAGGGTAAGGTGATGGTTTTGAATGGCTCCTCAAGAGGATCCTTCTTCGTGACTGGAGTGATGGCTTTGCGGATTGTGTAGTCGGAGTAACCATTAGCCTTGAGAGCTTGGGGTACGTGCTTGAGTTCACTGGCAATGTGTTCCTGGTCGGAAATGCATTGGGCTCTATGGTATAGACTATAGAGTCTTGATGAGGGAGTTCTTCTGGGATGGATGGTGGTGGGAATCCGGTTTTAAGTAAGCGTCCGTATGGGTAGCTTTCCTGTAGACAGAGTGGCTCATTGAACCATCAGGTCTCCTTTTAATTAAGACATCCAAAAAGGGTAACTTGCCATCTTTTTCGACCTCCATGATAAATCTGATGGCTGGGTGTGTGGAATTGATGTGGTCGAGGAATTGGTCCAGAGCAGGTCGGCCATGTGGCCAGATGACGAAAGTATCATCCACGTACCTCTTCCATAAGGTCGGGCGTAGAGTGGCAGTCTGGATGGCATCAGTTTCAAATTTTTCCATTGGGGTGCCCTCAATTTGTTTGTAGAAAGTTCCATTCCAGGTGAAGTATGTTTTGGTTAAACAGTGTCTCACCAGGGGGGGGGTACATCAGTATGCAGTCCTTGATGAACCAAGTCTTCAATGATTGCGATGGTGTCAGGTACCGGAACTTTGGTGAATAAGGAAACCACATCAAAACTGACAAGCAGGTCGTCTGGGGACAGGGAAATACCCTTGATAGTCGATACCAGGTGAGTAGCTTTTTGTACTGCAGAGCTGGTTTTTCCAGTGAAAGGTCGCAGGATATCAGACAGAAAACGAGCTAGTTTGCAGGTGGGGGAATTGATAGTGGAGACAATGGGACGAAGGGGTGTGTCTATGTATTTTTGGAAGGCCATATAATCTTGGTGGTCTGGCCGCAGAAGGTTTCAACGAGAACTGTTTGGTTTGATCAATTAATGCTGTTGAATCAGAGATGATTTTGTTGGTTTTGGTAACCAGGCTGTTGGTGGAGTCTCTTCTCATTTTTGTATAGCTGCCATCTTTGAGTAGTTCTTGAATTTTGTTATATTCTATTTTGTCCATGATGACAGTGGCATTGCCCTTGTCGGCTGAGAGGATGACAATGTCATCTCTCTTTTTTAATTGAGATAATTCAAAGCGCTCGTCTTTGCTGATGTTGCTAGGTGGCATCTTAGCGTTTTTGAGGGTTGCAGCGATTTCAGATCTTGCTACGTCTGCAGTGATGTGACCCAGGCCCTTGAGTGCCACGTCGAAATGGGCAATGATATAATTTACTGGTATGTGTCTAGGTGTGACTGCAAAGTTTAACCCTTTAGCTAAAACGGTTTTCAGACCATCAGAAAAAGAGCTGTTACTGCGATTAATTACGACTTTGTTAACGTCCAACTTTTCGGTGTGTGGGTCCGATTTCTTGTTGGAAAGGCGGTTGAATTTGGAAATCAAATTATCCTTACATTTGGTCGACATAGTGGCAGCTGAAGAGGCAGTCATATTGTCTACATGTTCCCAATCCGATGCAGACCTTGTTGCCGTCAATGATAAGTGTGATTTGTAGAGTGTCTTGTCTAACTGATCTAGTTCGGTGTGTGTAAGTCTGATTTTTTCCGAGATAAGAGCGAAGCTAGTTTTAGTTAGAATTCGTTTTGCATTAAAATAAGTTACAGCAGCAGAGGTTAGTGTAAATGCGGTTGGTATTACCTTCGAGTCGCGGCATCTCTTCAGAAAGGTGAGAGACTCGATAATTTGAGCCTTCTTATCCCGGAGTTTGTTGAAGGATCTCAGGGCTATATGGAATCCCTCCCCATAGAGGCGGTTAAATTTCGATTTAAAGCTTTCGTGACTGCAGGGATTCATCTTCTTGGTTCTTTCGGTAAAGTCACGTAGAATGGAAATAAAATAATAATAATAAGACAGAGTGTAAAGTTACAAGTCTACTATTTTATAGTCTAAAGTATAGGGCAGTGTAGAGTAACGCATTGTATAATTCAAAGGTGGAATTTTTTGTCTATGGATATGATATTATACCATGTAGTTTAGATTGGAAGGTGTAATATTACATTGTATAGTAGTCCAGTTTATAGGATAGTTATTAACGCAATACAGGACAGAGCAGCGCACCTATCCTATTCCTTTTTTCGCTCCTTTTTTCTGTGTAACCGCCGCCACCCTCCCCCGATCCGGTGGTGGTGCTGGGTAACATGCTAAGTCATATGTTAATTCCGCCCACACAGCTTAAAAATACGCGGTCTAGGCTTGGAAATGTTCACTCGAGCGCTGTCTTCTGGACAGTCCTGTTTATTCACCTGAAGAAGGCTACTTGTTTTGTGGCCGAAACGTCGTGAGAATTTTATTTAATTGTTTTTTTATTGTTATTATTATTATTTTATTTTCATTCTACGTGACTTTACCGAAACAACCAAGAAGATATATCTGGAATGTTCTGGAAAATAGGTAATTTTCAAAATATCACTGTCCTGGTCACAAAAGCAAAGTTTGTGGGGAATGATAGCCATTTTCTCTACTTTTGAGGCATAAGCAATGAGGAAATAACACTTACTACCCAGGAACAAGAAATCAATGAAAAAATTGTTACACAGTGTATAGTTCATTAACATGCTCCATATTTATGGAGCATCCATATGAATGAATTACAATACACTTTATTGTAGCGCTGATTTACATTACAAGGTCAAATTTTGTCCCGTGGAAATATATTTTTTCGTCTTTCTGGTGACCCTGTTCAATCGTTGGAAAGATGGCCCACTGTCGACAAAAATGAGAGGCTTCTGAAACTTGTACACTACTGCTGTGCAGGTAAGGTTTTATTTCATATGCCATTCCCCATTTATACAACTGTGAATCGTCTGGTATCACTGACTTTACTCCCCAGGCTGGTGATGAAAGAAATGGAACATTCCTTGACCAACAGACGGTTTCACAAATGCACAAGAAGGAGGTGAGGTCATGCAAAACAAACTGTTAGGCTCTTGGGAACTATTTTCCCAGTTTCAGTCGAATATTTTGATGTTTTTACTCTTTTAGTTTATTTTGATAAAAGTACTTCAATGCATGTACGATGTTGCCACGTGCTGAATTGGTATATAATCAGTTGTACACATTGCTTTAATATAGTTTGGCCAAAAAAGCATTTGTTCTGAATGCAATACAATATTGATTTTAACTTTAAAAAAAGTTTAATTATATTGGGGTACTCGTACAAACACATATTGGATGGTGCTAATGTCAAAGTACGTGAAGTACAGCCGGAGATTGCAAGTTTATTTCCCGACTGGTGGGTTGACTCAGCCCATCAACCGGGGTTGATAATAAGGGTCACACTTTGTGGTAAGTTATTAGTGGTTGTCTAAATAGATCGTTCTGGGACCCAATATAGTCACATGAAATTTCCACTACTGGTTTACATGAAATGAGCATCCACCATCCAATTGTTTGAGCAGTGGGACAGCTTGCATGAAGGGTGTCAAAAGGGGCTGCAAGAACCAGCATAAAGAATCGAGCTCAGATCCATTTAAATGTGTGCAGAGAATAATTTATTTGTATGCCTGAGGTTAGTGTGACCCTGTAGGCCTCGTGTTCAGAAAAGTGCCTTGGTTCAGAGGAAACGCGCGGGGACACAGCCAGGGCCTGGCACAATTTGCCTCGGTGTCAGGAATTGTTTAATTTCTCTATTGCAGCCATCCCATTGAGACTGAAATTACATATTTAATAAAAAGTGATTGCCTTCATAATCAAGTGCTGTTCTGGAATGCGATGAAAGCCTAATGTCTTTGTAAACAGAATGGGATAATTTTATGCCTAGCCAGAAGGCCACGCATGAGCTGTTTTTTTTTTCTTTCTTTTGCAATGGTTCAGTTAGTTCAGCTGCATGCCGCTTGTTTACATTAATGCTCTGCTTTGATTCATATTAATAATGAAGTTATTATGTGTGGTTATTGTTATTATTGGGAGGCTGGACTATTGTTTAGTTCACTTGCCTTTGGGTCCAAGGTTCACCAGCCTGAATGCCCCATCAGTTCCTTTGACAATTTGTATATGGGAGCAACACTAATATTGGCCGGGCATGTGCTAATTATTGTCGCTCTAAAGTTTCCCGTAAAAAATTGTTCATGAGCGCAATTCTCTGCTGCCAGGGCTGTGGTGCCAAAGTTGTTGGATTATCCCTTTCTCAACGATTGCCAGGAATAGATGCCCCCTTGTTGAGTTGAGAATCTTTCTGGTCTAAATCCTAAACGGCCAACACACAAAGGTAACACTTTACAAATGCATGGTGATGAGCACAAACAATACTTTTGTGCACACTAGTTAAATACATTGCAGCACCAGTATTATACATATACCACGGCAGTTTTATAACACTATCTCTTATACGTGAGGTTTTTCCAAGAACTTGAGTTAACTCCCACATGTAAAAATACCCCGTAACATTCCATTGCAGGAATCTCCTGAAAAATATTATTTAGCCTTTGTTTAACTTTTCTCGATAAGTCAGAAACATTACACTTCATAGCTCTGTCTGCCATTTTGCAGATTGCCTTAATTAGTTTTCTGGCAGGATCCAAATGCTCAACCGAATAGTTACATTTGTTTATGCATCAAAGCGACATGTGAGAGACAGACGGCGACGTGCAAAATCATGTAGCACACACATTCAGGTAGACGAGAGATAGAATCGAGGGAAATGTAGTGAAATGAGAGATATAAGGTAAATAATACAGGTGTAGTGACACGACATTGTAGGTAAGTTAATGATGTCACCCCCAGTCACTAATGCACATACAGCATTGTCGATATGCCCACGTTTATTTCGTCTAATTATACATGTACTACAAATATTTTTTCCATCCTGGAAGCCCCAACATCAGCACGGCCTCTCATCACATACGATGAAAGGGAAATTACATCATAGGCCTTTGTTCTCAAAGATAAAATGCAACCGCAACATGGTGGTCTGCGCAGCTGCGTTGTTGAGTACATGCTTCACTTTGTGTCTGTCTGCCAAATAATGTTCTCTGAAGCTAGTTATTACCAAAATAAATGCAATGACCAAGATAAATTACAAAGGTTTTTTTTGTGTGCAGTCCATTAGGTCATTGGCAGTGATGGCTCTGTGCTCTGGCTACAACAATAGCATTAGCCTTCTGAGCAACCCAGTCAACTTAATATTTCATTGTGCCCATTGTCACCGTGCTCTAGGAAAAGCCAGCAGAAACTATACACTGGGTCTTGGACAGAATGTTGAGGGGTGGTCCTGGCAGGCCTCCCTCCTTGGCGCATTCTACTCGGGCATCCCAGCCATCTCCCTTGAGCCCGAGAAAGGGCCAGTTCCTGAGATTGCAATGGTGCTGGTCCCCCATTCTCAGGGGGCTTGCACAAGAGAATACGTTGTCCCATTTGGCCGGGTGCAGAAGTAGCACTGTGCCGTCCAAGGGGCGGATTTTGTTCATGGACACAATGCTTCTATGTAAATCCCTCCCGTGACCACCCTCAGTTCGGGGCCTGATTTATGCCTGCCATTGCCACAGCAAAAGCCTGAGAGATCCCTTTGATGTCCCTTTGGCCAGGCCGCCTGCTGGCACTGACGTAGCTCAGTCTGTGCCTCGGTGGACAGGCTATTTTGGTTGGAAAGACACAGAAGGGATTTATGGTCCTTTAGAAAAATAAGTCAGTAACTCCCATAAATTTTCACTGTGTATGTATAAGGTAATAAAGTTGGTAAAAGAGATGATGCTTCAAGCCAAGTAGCCTTCACAAGACAGACTTTGGGGAAGGCCTGCAAGTAAAAGTTTTTTTTGCCCCATTTAAAAGGCTTTCAACTATTGTGCATATCTCTATACAAGTGGAAGCACCCACATACAATACAGCCTGCATGGCTAAAAATGTCAAACATCTCCGTTAAACTTCAATATGTGGTGGCTGCGGAGCTGGCAAACTACTTCTACATATACCATATTAAGAAACAAGTGGCCGTTAGTGTGTTTTGCCCATTGAACCTTGTACCTTGTTTTTGATTAATTTGTTTGCCCATTTTGTTCTGTTTAGCTGGAGGTGAGGACCAAGCTTCTGGAGGTCATGTTTCAGGAGGAGAAGCTAAAACTTCAGCAGAAGCACGATGCCGACATCCAGAAGGTGTGTGTGTGTGTTGATAAAATAGCGTCACAATTCCCTGCACTTAACCCATCCAAAACATTCCAGTTTACTACGTTCACCTTCCTCAAGGTGAGGGAGCTTTTGTATAATTATATTTGTTGAGTTTTAATGAAAGCTACTCACAGTTATGTCGGTCTCTTTATTAGCAGAGGTCACCTTTGTACCGAAGAGATCTATGGTATAAGGCAGAGGCTGTCAGTTTACAAACTCAGCTCAGTTTTTCACTCGGCACTGCAGAGAAACCTAATTCGCATCTGTGGTCAGGCTAAATGCTACACTGAAATGATTTGGTACAATGCCCACGAATGTACTTTAAAGTTTCGTCTGCGCATGGAGCAGAGTGTAATTTAAAAAGTACATTTTTGAGCTAGTGATTGAGTCGTTTTATAATTCGTCTTGTGTAATTGTGTAACATGTGAACTGTGATAATAAATGCGAATAGGTTTTCCCCTTTTTTCTTGCATCAAAACAGGTGTTAAGATGTTAAAACACCAAACTGAAACATTTTACAAGGAATCATGTCTGTATTAACCACAATACTTGTGGTTAGAATGCAAACAAAAAACATACTCTGATAATATATGCATTGTCCTTGAAACTGATTGGTCTACACCAGAGACAGCTTTCTTTGGAGCCAAAAGGTGTCTCGTCTAACGCCATTTGAGACTAGGTTCCAAAGAAAGCTGTCTCTGGCGTGGATCAATCAGTTTCAAAGACAATGCATATATTTTTTTATTTAAAGCTTTCGTGACGGATTCATATTCTTGGTTCTTTCGGTAAAGTCACGTAGAAGGGAAACAAGAATATGAATGCATATATTATCATAGTATGTTTTTTGTTTACATTCTGACCGCAAGTATTGTGGTTAATGCAGATATGATTCCTTGTAAAAAGGTTTCAGTTTGGTGTTTTAACATCTTAACACAGCTGTTTTGTTGCCAAAAAAGGGGAAAACCTATTATCATATTTTGGTACTGGCAAAGGAGGTCCCATGATGTGATAATAAAGTTTGATTACTTGTTTAGTTCCACTTATGATTATTGAAACATAGTGTCGCTTGCTGGGTCCAGATAATTGAAGAGCTGCCATTTTTAAGCAGTCTACACATTTTTCTTTATTTACACACTTGGCTACTGATGTCTGCTATCTTGAAGTTGTATGTGTCTCCTTAATGAGCAAGATGCATTCTACCCTCTAGTGGAGATTGTGAGGCTTGCAGGAAAACAGTTTTTTTTATTAATTCACAATGTTATTGACTCATAGTGGCTTCTGTGAATCAAGATCAATCACTGCTACAACAAAATCAGACAGGACTGCAGACTTAGACAACCCTTTTGAGAACTCTGCACTTCCTGAACATGAAACCATAGCAGACAGACGATGCGAGATTATATAACACTGCAATCCTTCTCATGACTAAATCACTTGCCCCGTGGTCAATCACGTCAGATTTTGTAAGCTAAACAGGATTGAGGCTGGACAGTGCCTGTATAGGCAATTGCGATGCATAATAGGTGTTACAGGCTACAAGGACTACGTTGTGGGGGCAGCAGAGGGCAATGGAGCAAAATGCATTGTTATACTTCCATGCTTACATGTACATCTTTCCCACCTTCCCCCAACATGCGCTAACCAGTGTGGTGAAGTATGGGCAAATAACCCCCACAACCCACACATCGTGGGGGAGACACTCATCCAACATCAGATTGGCAAAGGGCTGTGCAAGTACACTCTTATTCTTTTTCCTATTTGGCTGAAAAATAAAAACATGAAAAATACGTGTAAACATCTGTTCAATATCTTCTTTGGTTCTTTCGGTAAAGTCACATAGAATGAGAATAAAATAATAAAATAACACAATAAAATTCTCACGACGTTTGGGCCACAGCGCAAGCGGCCGTTTGCGTTGTGGCCGAAACGCCGTGAGAATTTTATTGTGTTATTTTATTATTTTATTCTCATTCTACGTGACTTTACCGAAAGAACTAAAGAAGATGAATCCTTGCAGTCACGAAAGCTTTAAATCGAAATCTGTTCAATATGTATGTCTGTTGAACTTCTTTCGTACTGTACATAGCCAACTGTGCTCATCGAAGGTGCAGGGGAAGGATAAACTAAACACAAAAAGCAGTTCTCAAGAAATTAGTTTTCAATCTAGATTTAAAAGTGCGTAGCTCATGTGGCTTCCTAACACCGGAAGGAAGAACGTTCCAGACGGCCACAGAAGCGAATCTGAAAGCGCACGATGCAGCGACCGTCTTTGTTCGATGGCCAGCCAAATGCCGCTGTGAGGATGGCCGGAGTTGGTTTATGCTCCTTGAGTGTTAAAGAGCTCATGTTTGATGGCATGCAGCAAGTGTTGGGATTAGCTTTTATAGTGCCCTGCACTTGACGTGGGGGGCTACGTGTTCAATGTAAACCTGTGTAATAGTATCAAAGGCATTGCAGTACTTTACTTGTGACTACAATGGCTCGAAATATAAACCAATGGCACATCATAAATCAATTGGATGGCTGTTCGTGTTGTAAATTTATCAAGTGAACATAAAACCCATAATCCGCTTGTCTTCCAAAATAACAGGGAAGAGCTGAGTATAAATGAAAAGGGAAGCTTTTCATTACCCTAACTTGCTTATGCCCGGGGCCATTAGAAATTCCAGGCAGCCGCAAAGCCTTAAAGATTGTAATTTATTTTTTTATGAATGCTAGTTTAAGAAAATTTCACCTGCAGTAGCATGAATCTAAAGAACTTCATGCCCATCCCATTATCTACATCTTCATGGGCATTGCTTCCTACTTCATCAAATAACTCACTTTTAGTTGGAAGGTATTCGGTACTTACTATAGTTTCTATCTGCCCAGCTTCTGCCACAGAAGAATTGTGGGGTTGAAGGATGCGTGTCCGTGGCCTCAGGACAGGAGATCAGAGAGAGCTCCCTGTCAGCTGTTGTTTTGCTTTTCAGAGGTTTCCATTACCCGTTTATTATTGGAAGCCAGGCTCAGCACTGCTTGAAACCACCCAGCAACTAATTATGTTTGGACAACAGTGAGTCCTTTAAAGTTAACAGAGATCAAACAAGCCTAAGGTATGATTATAATAATTATGGCTCACACAGGTTTTAATTTAGCAGCATTTCAAAGTGAACGTCCTGCTTTTCTGCACCTCTAATCGGATTCACAGAAATGAAGCAGCATGCATTACCGCATTTCATTTTATTAGTGCAGTGTTGCATTGCTCGGCATTAGAACGTGGAATCGAATTACGAAGAACGTGCAATGCGTTAATCAACAACCAACATTTGGTATATATTTGGAAGCCACGCTGAAATGTGCTTAATTAATCGTGGGCTCTTCTCTTGGAGAGTATTGACTGATGATGAATTATGGAATTTTAAATATGCGTTATAAAGGATATGCTAATTTATTCAAGTTATTGTGCCAATAAGTACATTTTCGTAGAATTGACGGCTAATAATGTGTATGCATGTAATTGCCTTTTACCATTAACATTTCAATATAATGCAGGGCAGTACATTTGTTTGAAAGTACCACGTTAGATTGAAGTTCCAAATATAATGCAGTCTCTCGCTTATGTCATGCACCTCTGCGTTCGGATTTGGTGGCACATTGACCGAAGTGTTTATTTTCCTTTAAAAAAAACCTACAAATATCAAAACAACAGGCAATGATGAATGGTGTTGCCTCAATTTGCATGGTAGGGTGTGAATCCATACAAAAGCTGCTGACACTGCAACTCTCCAAGTTACCCTGTACATCATCAGAACCGTCATTAATTATTCATAAGCGGAAAGTTTGTTTTGAAAGCGCAGCAGAAGCAGAGAAGAATCTTAGAAATTTCGAGCATGGAGACGCGTGGCGATACTGGTTTGACAGTACTCTGGTCAATTAGCTTGGTAGCCCTACTGACAGTGGCACCAAGAACACCAAGAACACGCCGTCTCGTATGCGAACAATCTTTATTATGCATGATGCAAGCTGACGAGACATTATTGCAAGATGAAAAAAATTGCATTTGGGAGCCATACAGCAAAAGGTTTTTTGTTGTTGTTGTTGTAATTGTATTAAATATACTCGATTTTATACAATATCCAATTACTATGGTTAGAGCACTATATTCACAGTTGGAATGTTGCGAGTTCAAATCCCGGTCGTGGATTAACTTGGCCTATCATTCCGCTGGGGTTAATAAAATAAGTAAATTGTGGAAAGTGAAGAGTGGTTGTCCTGTGGAAATAGACCTTGCAAGCCACTGGCTCAGGGGAGCCTATGGACATGAATACCATCCCCCCACACACTAAATTCAGCAAGGAGACACCTTGACTGTGACCTCCTTTAGGTAATTTCAGCCTGAAATTAGTGTATTCTTGAAATTACTGATGAAGGATTTCAGTTAAACTGGCATTAGTTTACCAAGAATGAAAAACTAAGTGCACTTCTGAGAAGTACATTTACTTATGCTTACGATCATTCATGTCCATAACAGTATTAGTCACTTCATGAGTCATCTTTTAGGTTGGCCAATGCAAAAGGGTAGCTATTCATTCTGTGTGGTATACCCAGGAGCGTTATAAACTCACTGAAAGTGGCTTATAAGAAAAAATATGGACTGTGATGGCTAATTAATACCCCAAGTTGAACTACTAAATGTTTAAGCTGTCCCTAAAAGATTACTCAAGAGTTAGAAATATTTTAAGATTTTAATGCAAAAACATCATTTATTTTTTCCAGGTGTTGTAGGCATGGCGCTGTGTGGTTACCAGGCATTTACAGTGTTAAGTAACACTCCCTCAAGTACTCCAGTTTCTTCCGATATGCTAAACACCAATTAATGGTATTAACTAAATATCCCAATGCAAAACATTCGTGAAAAAATAATCTTCAGACTCAATGAGATTTTCCTCCAGAAATAAATGCCATTGTTAAATGCAATATATTGTATGTCTTTGTACGTTCGTGTT